GTGAGGGTACATTTAGTGGAACAGAAAGTCTCTTATACCCTGTTTGTAAAGAAACAGTTCTGTGCCCTAGAGCTGCAGGGTAGCTGGCTGGTTTCCTTGAGGATGCTCATTAGTGCAGTAGTTCCATGTTGGTGGTAACAGCCTGACAGGGCTGACCCTGCTCCAAGGTGGAGCTCAGAACAGCAGCAGCCCTTGGCAGGAGCTCCCAAGGCCACACCCTCACTGTGTCCTTTACCTGAATGGGGCTGCTGAGGAGGAACCGAGGCTGGCAGGGGGGTTATTTCCTGCTGGTTTCATAAGTTCCTGTCAGGCCAGGCTGTGAGAACGGCTGTTCAGACAGATGCTCTGGCCACCTCTGCCTCGGCAACAGTGTAGAAACCAGTTTTCATTTCCTTGCCTTCCAGAGGAGCAGTGTCAGGCAAATCCCTCCTCCAGCTTCACATGGAGCGGTGTCACTCTCCTGGCTGTGGCCTGGAGCTGGGTGATACCAGGGAGCCAGAAACACCAGAGGAACCTGTGTCTGTGCCAATAGTCCCAGCTGGCTGCCTGCCAGCAGAGCGAGCCTGGTGCTGCTCTGTTCACACACCTGTGTCAGGTGTCAGCCCGGGGGAACTTCTCGTGCTGCTGTGCTGCCCAGTGACTGCATGCCAGAGAGTCAGCAGTGTTTGGTAGAGTGACATATTTTCACCTATCATATTGGACACAACAACAACAGAAGACACAGTTATCAGCTCTTTTGGGGGAGATATGAGGATAACAAAATGTCCTGTGAAGAGGGGGGAGCTGACCAGCTGACTGTTCAGCCCGTAACAGCGAGCCCAGGGCACGGTGCTGCCGGTGTCACTCCTGGGTGTGACTGTGCCACCACCTCTCTCCCCAGGGGCAGGAGTGGCTCTGCTCAACGACCACATTTATGTCGTGGGTGGGTTCGACGGGACAGCACATCTCTCCTCCGTGGAAGCCTACAACATCCGCACTGATTCCTGGACAACGGTAACGAGCATGACCACGCCCCGGTGCTACGTGGGGGCCACGGTGCTGCGGGGCCGGCTGTACGCCATCGCTGGGTAAGCACTGCTGGCCTGCACGGGCCCGGCCTGCGGCTCTGTGAGCTGCAACAGGGGAGCTGAGGGGACACAGCGGCTGCCCCATCTCAGCTGGCCGCTCCTCACACTGATATTTCAAGAGGGGACGGCCCACAGGGTCACCGTTGCCCAACCAGGGCCCAGGCAGGTGGGAGAGCGGCAGCAGGCAGCAAAGGCAGCCTCGTGCAGGCAATTCCATTCTGGGCCATTCCTGCTGTGTGCGGCTGTGCAGCCTCCCGGGAAGGGCTCTGAGTGCCTCAGCCTCTTCCTCCAACGCCGTCCTTCACCTGTAACTTTCTGTCCTGGCAGATACGATGGCAACTCACTGCTGAGCAGCATCGAGTGCTACGATCCCATCATTGACAACTGGGAAGTGGTCACCTCCCTGGGGATGCAGCGCTGCGACGCAGGAGTCTGTGTCCTGCGGGAGAAGTGATCAGGAGGGAGCTCACAAAGAAGAACATTTTAAAAAGTCTCGGCTGGAGGAAGAGTCCCAAGTGATTTGCAGTGACTGTTCTTGAGAGTTGTGGATGCTGTGGGAATAGGCACCAGAAGAGCAGCTTTCTGTGCTGCTTGTGACTAGAGCATGTGCATAACCGTGTGATCTCAGCAGTCATTTGAAATCAGGGGCTCTATGGGAAGCTGGAGGAAGGGGGTGAGTGGGTCATGAGAAGCTGCACTCTCTGCTGTTCCTGTGGCTTAGCCTATGGGCAGAGCAGAGATGCCCCAGCCTGGCCTCAGCCAGCCTGGTGAGCCCTCCCAAGGACATGTACATACCACTGGGTCACCTCTTCAGCCACCACAGGACCCCGCGGGTCCTCGGGTCGCTCTCAGCCACATGGATGTGTGAGGGTGAATCCAGCTGCTCTTGTGTTCCAGCTTCAAATCATCATGTACATATGAATGTTCAAACGTGCTCCTTGAGCACACGTGGGTGCAGAGCCAGATTGGGTGAGCGTGTGTGAGGGGGGGCTGCAGTGTCGCTGTGTCTGCAGGTTCCTCCCAGGGCTGCACACAAAAGGAGTCGCAGGTTAAAGCTGTCAACTACTGAGACCCAGAAGCCCGAGGCCGCAGGGGCAGAGGGCAGGGGGGAAGCTCACTGCCTGCTGCAGAAGCAGGACTGCAGTGTTTGTGCTCTTGATCAGGTGCTCAGCAAGGTTCTTCACATCGTACTTCCCTCAAAAAGCTTGAGAGCCCCGGCTGCAAAGCGCTGCCATCTGTGGCACCAGGAGCCCTGCTGTGCTGCGGCCGTGCCTTTGCTCCCACCCTGCAGGGAGGTCACCTGAGCTGAGGCCATGAGAGTAGGGACACAGTGGCTGCTGCCCACCAAGGTCTTGCTGGAGAGTGACTGGGGTTCGTCCCTGGACCCACCTGAGTCCAGCACACCCATGGCAGCCTTTCACTCGAGTTCATTGTGTTGGTTTTCCTTTTATCTAGGATTTTTCTGCTTCCGGGGTTGTTCTGGAGTAACATCTACGATTCCGTTCCGCCCTTTGTTCTCAGCTGTTTATTTCCCTGCCCACATCCTCTGACACTTGCTATCCCTCGCCTGCCCCACGAGCCCAAGTGAGGGCTCCATCGCTGGCTCCCTGGAGCGCTCCCTGCTCAGCATGTGTCCTGCCTCGCTGTGTTCCTGGGAGCACGGGCTCCCCTCTGCCATCAGCTTGGCCCCACAGTGCCTGGGCTCTGTGTAGTGCTGCTCGTTGAGCTTCCTGCTGACTCCTTGCTTGGGGACAGGGTGGGATCAGGGACGTGGTAGCATGACTTATGCACTTTCAGCCAACGCTCTGAACCTTCTGCGTTTGTTTCTATCACACAAGTGTTCTGTGGTTTTGTTTCCTATGTTTATTTTCTAATGAAAGTATAAAGAATAAAATATTTCCTGAGCCAGTGGGAGTTTAGCTTCTGTTCTCTACCTTCCAGACCTTTGCCTAACTATCGTGTGGAGGATTTGTGCAAACCCTGTGTTAGACCAGGCACCTGTGTCCACCTTCAGCTGTGTCTCTGCCCTGCAGTTTCAGCCTGGTGGTGAAAAAGAGCTGCTCCAGCTGTGAGATCCACAGCACAGAGACCAGACAGGCCTGGAGGACTCGCTAACAGGGGGATTTGTTGCAAGGTCCATTGGAGAAGAGCACGGCCGCAGAAATAAGGAAAAGACTGTGATTACAGTCAACAGCAATAATTAGTCCTCAGGGGCTGAACAAGAGCCCAGGTGTGCCCAGGTGGCCAAGAAGGCCAGTGGCACCTGGCTTGTACCAGGCAGCAGGACCAGGGCAGTGACCTGTGCTGGGCACTGCTGAGGCCTCTTGGATCCTGGAGTCAGTTCTGGGACTCTCACAACAGGAAAGACACTAAGGGGCTGGAGCGTGTCCAGAGAAGGGAACAGAGCTGGGGAAGGGTCTGGAGCAGCAGGAGCAGCTGAGGGAGCTGGGGGGGCTCAGCCTGGAGGAAAGGAGGGCTGTGTGCAGGGATGCTGCTGAGCTTCACAACACCCTCCTGCACCCGCTCCCCTCTCAGCTCTGCCAGGCCTGTGCTGGCTCCACACACACACAGGTGGTTCAGGAGCTCCCAGGCACTGTTCCTGCCTTAGAAATACTGGCACAAGTCACAGGGGAATGGGGTTATGTCTACAATCTACACTCACCCCCCAACTCGTGGCAGGACTGCCCAGGCTGGAGCCTGAGGTGAGCAGCTGGATTGCTGATGAAATCCTGTACCTTTATGTAGTACCTCTACATCAGTTCCCATTTCTGGCTTCTCCTGAGAGTTCTTGGCAGCAGACAGTGAGGAGACAGTGAGGCAGCAGGAGGATGGTGCGTATTTACACTAAATGGCCAGAAAAAAAAGCAAGAATTGGAGCTCTTCTGGGATCTGGTTTACTCCCTAAAGAAGCAGTGGCTCAACCGAAAGGTCTCTTTCAGTCTTTTCAACCATACTAACAACAGTGGGCCATTAGCAGCAGGTCCCGAGACCAGCACACAGCCACAGGGGCTCAAAGGTGCTCAGTGAAGAGCAGCAGAGTCACCTGTGCCCCAGGACTCCTCCAGCACTCCTGCCTGTAAGCACTGGCACTGCCTCCTGCTTTGCCCGGGCTTTTTGGGGTCAGGCTGGTCTGTGCTTCTCTCTCCTGGGAAAATCATTGCTCCCAGTGTCAGCCCCCTGCCCCTTCCAGTGCACTCTGTGCTCCCCCAGTTTGGAGGGGGGGGTCTCTCTGTAAAAAGCAGCCATGTGAGCTGCTGTGTACCCGGGCTCTCCCGAATGCTGATGCGACCACTACACGCAAAATATGTGCAGCAGCTTCACAGAATCCCAGAATGGGTGAGGTTGGAAAGGGACCACAGCGGGTCATGTGGCCCAACCTCCCCCAAGCAGGGTCGTCCCTTAGCACAGGGCACAGGACTGTGTCCAGACAGCTCTGGAATATCTCCGATGAGGGAGACTTTGAAGGGAGACAATTTCCCTTTGTCCAGCATCAACTGAGCTCCTTCTTCAACCTCCGTGACAAAGTCAAGTGTCTCCAGACTCCCATTCCGGTAAGTGACGGTCCCTGATGGTCCCTGCACACAACAGACAGACAGACCCTCGCTGCTGGCTGGTGGCGCGGGGGGGGGGGGGGGGGGGGGGGGGGGGGGATCAGAATCCCAGACTGGTTTGGGTGCAAAGGGACCTTAAAGCTCCTCCCCTTCCATGGGCAGGGACACCTTCCACTGGGCCAGTTCACTGCAAGCACCGTGGACACTCCCAGGGATGGAGGGGCCGGGTGAGACCACCTGAGGGGGGGGGGGCAGGGCCGTGATGTCAGCGTAGCCTGTGCCGTGACGTCACGAGCCTTGCACCGAGCGAGGGGCGGGGCCGCGGCTGTGACGTCAGCGGCGCCCATGATCTGACGTCATCGCCTCGCCCCGCCCGTCGGCCATGGCGGCGCCCTGCGCGGAGATGGAGCCGGCGGCGCCTCCTCCCTCCCCTCCTCCCGCTCCCGCTCCCGCCGCCGCGCCGGGCTCGGCCGGGCTCGTGTGCGCGCAGGGCCGCAACCTGCGGGCGGTTCTGTGCCAGCGCTGCGGCTCCCGGGTGCTGCTGCCCGGCGCCGCCACCTTCGCCCGCCGTGAGGTACCGGGGGGGGGGCTGAGGGGAGCGGGGGGGGCGGGCGGTGCCGGGCGGGCGGTGACGGCCCCGTGGTGTCTCCGCAGCTCCTCCTGCCCGCCATGAGGAAGAAGGCGGCGGCGGCGGCGGCGGGAGGCGGCGGGGACGTGCTGCGGGAGCACTGGCTGGTGCGCGACATGTTCTCCTTCGAGAACGTGGGGTTCACCCGCGACGTGGGCAACGTGAAGTTCCTGGTGTGCGCCGACTGCGAGGCGGGGCCCATCGGCTGGCACTGCCTGGACGACAAGGACAGCTTCTACGTGGCTCTGGAACGCGTGGCCCACGAGTGACCGCGGCCCCGGGCACCGGGCTGGCAGCTGGGCTCGGCCGCCAGGAGCCCCGACAGCCCTGAGAGCCACAGCCTGGGCTGGGGCCCAGGGCACTGCCCGTGGCCGGGCACCCCAGTGTCTGACTGACCACAGCCCTGCTGGACACCCCAGTGTCTGACTGACCACAGCCCTGCTGGACACCCCAGTGTCTGACTGACCACAGCCCTGCTGGACACCCCAGTGTCTGACTGACCACAGCCCTGCTGGGCACCCCAGTGTC